CCCCTGCTCCGCCGGCTGCTGCTCGCCGCGCTCCTGCAGCTGGCCCCCGCCCAGGTACGTGCGTCCCCGACATCCCGCCCGCCCGCCGTGCCCTCTCTCAAGGTTGGCGGAAGTGGGGAGGCGCGGGGCGGCCTCGGCCGGGGATCCGCGGGGTCCGGCCGCCGACAGGGGCGTCGCGGGGACCTGGCCCGGGCATCCCCCGGGAGGTGTCCTTCTCCACCCGCCGCCAGCCCAGCCCCGGGGCCACTCCCCCGCCCCACCCCGTCCCCTGGGCGCAGCCGGGGGCGGGGCCGCCTCAGCGCCGCAGGAGCTGGGCGCCGCGGAAGCTGGTTCGGTGCCCACTGTGCCCCCTCCCGACCCATGGCCTCCGAAAAAGCCCGGCCCCCCAGGCTGGGAGAAGGATGCAGCCGGCAGAGCTCGCCTGGCGGGTTGGGGCCAGGGCAGGTCCCAGGTGGCCAGGACAGGCCAGGTAAGGCTAGAGTGGCCCCAGGAACAGAGCACTCTGGAAAAATTTCAAAGAGGAGGTGAAGCCTCCTGAACCAAGGGCAGAGCCCTGGGGACAGCGACAGGGCCAGCCCTTCCTAGGATGCACCTTGGGTATAGGTCTCTTCTCTCCCACAGGCCCCAGTCTCCCAGCCTGATGCCCCTGGCCACCAGAAGAAAGGTAATAGTAACAACAACGACTTTGCACTAGTCAGCACTGGTGGGCTTGCCACTGCCCTGATTCCAGGGTCTTTGTGTCCATTGTCTGTATCATCACAGCTGCTCTGTAGGATGCAAACTCTGATTCTGCCCATTTCACAGAAGGTGACAGTGAGGCAGTGGGGTTCCTGGGTTCTGAATGAACAGGGCAGGGAAGACAAGTTGGGAGGGCAGAGGGGGGCTAGTGGAGGGGGGCTGTGACATGGGAACTAGGGAGAGCAGCTGCTGGGCTGGGGTAGGGGAAGTAGGGAGCAGCTGCAGGAAACCCAGTGGGACTAAACCTTCATGCATCTGTCTCCAGTGGTGTCATGGATAGATGTGTATGCCCGTGCCACCTGTCAGCCACGGGAGGTGGTCGTGCCCCTGACTGTGGAGCTCATGGGCACTGTGGCCAAGCAACTGGTGCCAAGCTGCGTGACTGTGCAGCGCTGCGGCGGTTGCTGCCCGGACGACGGCCTGGAGTGTGTGCCCACGGGGCAGCACCAAGTCCGGATGCAGGTACTGGGGCAGGTGGAGCGTGCCCAGCTGGGGTGGATGCTGGCGCTCTGAGTCCTGGCTGGTGGGCGAGCTCCTCTCCCTCCAGCTCATGAAGCATCCCTTCCTCTCTCTGTCTCGCTGTCCCTCTCACCATCTCTCTCCCTGTTCTTCCGAGCACAGATCCTCATGATCCGGTACCCGAGCAGCCAGCTGGGGGAGATGTCTCTGGAAGAACACAGCCAATGTGAATGCAGGTGCCAGCCAGGCCCCACTTCGGAGCCCACAGAGACTAAACCTGGGGGGTGCTGGCATGGTGGGACACAGTGGGGACCAGGTGTCCCAAGAGTAGAGCCAGGGTAGGCCTGGGATCTGGGGCAAGAGAGTAGGATGTCCGGTTTTCCTCATCCTTCTCCTCCTCGTCTCTGTCTCTTACTTTTCAGACCAAAAAAAAAAGAGAGTGCTGTGAAGCCAGACAGGTGAGTCTCTTGGGCTCCTGCTGAGGTGGGTTGGAGCCCAGGCCCAGTGCCCAGGATGTAACAACGTGTGGCCATGGAGTGTGTCAGGAAGCTGTGTCCCTTCCCCTCTTTCTCCTCACTGGCGTCCCCCTCTCCCTTCCCCAGCTGTGTGCTCCGACCCACCCCCAGCCCCTGGGAAGACTCTTCCTTCCCGCCCCAGACATGTTGCTTCTCCTCCTAGGGCTTCCACTCCCCGCCACCGTCCCCAGCCCCGCTCTGTTCCGGGCTGGGACTCTGCCCCCGGAGCACCCTCCCCAGCTGACATCACCCATCCCACTCCAGTCCCAGGCCCCTCTGCCCACGCTGCCCCCAGCGCCGCCAGCGCCCTGACCCCCGGACCTGCCGCTGTCGCTGCCGACGCCGCAGCTTCCTCCGTTGCCAAGGGCGGGGCTTAGAGCTCAACCCAGACACCTGCAGGTGAGGAGTTGTTCGGGAAGGCATCACAGCCCGTCCTGGAGCCGGGCCAGGGTGAGCCTGCCAGTGGGAGAAGAACCAGGGAAGGGGAAGCTGTTAACATGTTGAACAAATATTTACCCAGTGTCTGCTGGCACTGGGGTCAGCATAAACAAGCTCACGTTCTAGTGCAGGAGTCGGACACGGGGACACGTGATGCCAGCAGAGGGTGTCAAGGGTTGGGGTAAGGGGAACCTGACATGTCTCTGAGAGGCCAGAGATGTCCTGGAGGAGGTGACATCTGCCTGGAGTAGAAATGAGATAGCTTGCCAATTTGCAAAGCTCCGGGCCTTCCTAGAAGCCCCTGTGGTAGACATTTGTCCCACCTTATGGGCTCTGAGAGGCCAGGGGACATAGTGGAACCTTGTCTGAGGTGCTTCTCACCACCCCTCCCTTCCACAGCGAGGCCATGGGGTGGCATCATGTGGGCCTGGCCGGCTGGGGCCTCCCTGGAGTGTTAGGAGAGAATGGGGTTCCCAGATGCTAACAAGGGGGTGAGTCTAGAGCTGGGCAGAGCTCTGCCAGCACAAACAGACCCCCTTCCTCTCCTCTGCAGGTGCCGGAAGCTGCGAAGGTGACACATTGCTTTTCAGACTCAGCGGGGCCACTTGCCTCACAGGCCACACCCCAGAGGACGACAAGAGGGCAGCCTGGTGCCAACAGCCCAGCCCCCAAGACTTCAGCCCGGGCGGACACTGCTCCAGGACCTGGGCCTCCCAGAGGGCTTCCTGGCCGTCCCTTCTCTCTCCAAGGCTGCCACCCAAGAGGGAGGGCGGAGTTGGAGGAAGAGACTTGGAGGCAGCAAGAGGGCTCACGTACCAGCTCGGGAGAGAATGGGGTCTCGTCTCCGTTTTCAGCCACGCTGTGCAAGTGAGCATCTTACACCTGGCTCCTGCCTCCTTTCACTACGAAGACCCTGATCCTCTGCAGATAATGGGAGTGGGGCTTTGGGACAAGAACTGTGACCCCCAACCCTGATAAAAGAGATGGAAGGAGCCGTCCCTGCCTCTGTCACTGTTTGTCACGGTCCAGGCTGGCTGGTTTGGGCACCAATGTCTGTATCTCACTGCCTCCTAGACCCAGAGCTTGTCTGTCTTCCTCCCTCGTGCAGATGGAGGAAACGAGGCCCAGGGCCCCACACCAGGTCCCAGGCAGAGCCCGAATCTGTCGTCTTCACATTCATGTTATTGCCAGGCCTAGGGAGTCCCTGCCCACTGCTCCTCACAAGGGTTCCGTTCTGGAAGGAGACGGGCTGTTATGGTCCGTGAGCTTGAGGTGGGACCCGGATCTGCTGAATGACCTTGGTTGTCACTGCCTCTCTTTCTGTGAGCCTCCATTTCCACATGTGCACACGGAGGGAACGGATGATGGCTGTGGTTGGTCGGGGCCCTGGGCTCCTGGAAAGTTTGAATCTGTCTTCACATAATAGGAAAGAACACCCACCTTCCCTGCCATCTCTCAGGGCAGCACTCTATGTCTGCTACTTTTTGCTCCCAGTAGCTGAACTCTAAAGCCACACGCCTGCCCTGTTCCCACCTCACTCCCACCTCCCTGACAGGGAGGCACAGAAGGGCTGTGGGTGGGGGGCTTGGTTTGGGAGACAGGCCCCCCACCACAACCTCTTCTCTACCTTCCCTTCCCTTGCTTCTTGGGCTCCCCTCACCAGCGCCGCCTTGGGACTCTCCTGACCTTCGTCTGAGCCAGCCCAAGCTCAGTGCCCAGCCTCTGCCTGCAGCCCTCGGTGCCCTGGGGCTGAGTGGCGAGTGGGTAGACCACAGGCCAAGCTTGGGCACCAATGCTTCGCCCTGCTGAGGCAGGACACTCAGGGCAGAGATCAATCCAAAGTTGATATCCAAATCCTCTCTCAGCCATAGCCCAATCAGAGTGAGACAGGAGGGTTAGGGGCCCTGGAGCGCCCACCTCCTGAGCCCACTTAGCCCTCTGGGCGGGCACCGTGCTTCATATGCACCCCTCCTTGGTCCTCAACCCGAGGTCAACGCTGTCATGATCTTCCTTTTCAGTGGAGGAAACGGGCTCAGAAAGGCTGATGGCACTGGAGGTTGACCTCAAGTCGGGGTCTTCCCAACACTCAACCTAGATTTAGCTTCCTCTCACGGCGGGTTCATTAATGTGATGGCCAGATGTGAACTGGGCACTGCTGGGTGCGGGGTGCCTGAAAATCAGGCTGGCTGGGGGACGGGCCCGGCCCGACCACTGCAGTCATGACTCGGTGGTCAGCGCGGCAGGTGGGGCAGGCCCGGACACTGGGGGAGAGAACAGGGAGGGACCGTTCGCATGGGCCAGGGCCTGGTGCGCATCATCGCCGCAATCCCAAAGGGGCCCTGCGTTACAGGGACGCCAGCTCCCACCAGGCCAAAGCCCGGGCTCAAGGTCACCCGGCCAGTCAATGAGAAGCACACCCGAATTCAAGCCCAGGGCTCACTCTGAACCCCAGGCTCTTTCCACAGCAACTAACTGGGGATGTGGATCCTGGAGCGGCTCAGGGATAAACAGGAACGCTGTGGGAGAGGCGGGGGGCGACAGAAGATGGCGTCTCGAGACCCCCTCCGGGAAACCGGACCCGCCTGACCTCAAAGTCAACTCGACCGGAAGAGCCTTCAGCCCTTTCGGAAGTCACTTTCACCTAACTTCGCGGACAGCCGCGCCACCGGAAGTGTCGCGTAAGTCACGTGGTGGCGCGGGAGGCGGGGCTAGGGAAGGAGCCGCCCCGGCAGGCGTGCGGCAGCGGGTTTCGCACGGTCCAATGAGGGCGGGCGGCGTGGCCCGGCCTGGTAGCGACGGTGACGCGCCTGCGCAGAGGCGGCGGCGCGGCTGGGGTTGACTCCGGGGGCGCGGCGAGGAGGTGAGCGGGGGCCACAGCCCGGGCTGGGGGGAGCTGGGGTGCAGGGGGACAGGCTGGATCAGGCCGGGCAGGAGCGGGCCGGGGCTCCGAGTGTCAACGAGGGATAGGTTACGAGGAAATTGGGGGTGGGGGTCGGAGCTGTCTGGGGATGCCGCAGGGGGAGGGTTCTCACGCCGCACGGGGCGGAGCCCTGGGACTCGGGGCGGGACGTGGAACCGAGGCGGGTGGGTCCTCTGAGCTGGTGCCAGTGGAAGGCGGAGCTCCGAGGCTAGGGGCGGAGCTGGGGCTGGTGGGGGGCGGAGCCTGGCTCTTGGAGGAGGAACTGGAACAGGAGGAAGGCGGAGCCTCGGGTTTGGGGACCGAGGGGGCCGGAGCCCAGGCGGTGGGGGCGGGGCTTCAGCCGGTGAGTGGCGTGGCTACAGGTCGGGAAAAGAGGTCTAGTTCTGTCGAGGGCGGGGCTCCAGGGCCGGGGGCGGAACCACGCCCCCTAAAAGGCGGGGCCAAGGAGCCCAGTGAAGGGGTAGGTCCAGGTAATGGCCCGGGGCGTCCACGCGGGGGCGGTCTCCGTGGCGGCCGGGCCTGGGGTCGCAGTAGGCCGAGAACTCCCCCGGGAGAGGTGGTGTGGGTGGAGCGGGCTCGGCGGTCACCCGACGCGGGGCCTGTCTGGGTGCCCCGCAGACCCCCGAGGGCTCAGAGTTGGGGCGGCGCCCCGGGCGGAGGCGCAGGGCCGGCCTGGGGGGTACCCCCGGCGGATCGGGGCTCCCCGGAGCCATCCAGCGGCGATGTGTGGGTGCCTCGGGGTCGGCCCCCTGCAGCGGCCGCAGAGATGTGGGTGTGCTGGGCGGGGGGCAACTGCGTGTGGCGTGAGTGGGGTCCCCCAGGCGAGGCAACTGCTGTGCAGCCAGATAGGGTCTGGACTTTGCGTAAAGGGACGGGTGGAAATTAAAGAATGGGGCTGGGGACCCGGGGATAAGGAAGGGCTGGGGGTGAGCAAAGGGGCGGGGCCCTGGCTGCTGTGGCCTCCCCTGACCCCCTTCCCCCGCTGCTGGGGTCCTCGGGCAAGCCCCCTTCTCACTGGACTGGTAAGTGTGGCCGCGGAGTCCGGGGGAGCGGGTGGTGACCCGGGACAAGGGGATCCCCAGGGGCAGGCAAAGTATGGTGGGGGTGGAATCCTCCTGGTACCTGCCCTTGTTCCATGCTCTCCCTGCCCCCCCCCCCCCCCCCCGGTCGGTTGGTCGGTCGGGGTGTGTCCCCGCAGAGACATGAGGCTGAGCTGGGTCCTGACAGTACTGTCCATCTGCCTGAGCGCCCTGGCCACAGCCGCAGGGACCGAGGGCAAACGGAAGCTGCAGATCGGAGTCAAGAAGCGGGTAGACCACTGTCCTGTCAAATCGCGCAAGGGGGACGTCCTGCACATGCACTACACGGTGGGTGAGGGGGCGGGGCTTTGGGGGTGGGTGGGGCTTCCGGAGACCAGAAAGGACTTGGGAGCCAGGTTCCTCTGCCAACAAGGTGGGTGACCTTGGGCAAGTCCCCTCTCCTCTCTACACCAGTTTCTGTGGTTTTACCCTGCTCTTCACTGTCTACTCCCCAGGTTGGCACCAGCAAGCAGTGACAATGTACTGTGAGCTGCCCAGGGCTCTGTCCCCTTCTAGGACTATGGTTGCCAGCTTGATGGGGAGAGTAGCTGGGGTGGGGGGGGATCTCAGGGAGGACCCTATTCCTCACTGGCATTCCCATGGTCCCACAGGGGAAGCTGGAAGATGGGACGGAGTTTGACAGCAGCCTGCCCCAGAACCAGCCCTTTGTCTTCTCCCTGGGCACGGGCCAGGTCATCAAGGGCTGGGACCAGGGGCTCTTGGGGTGAGTCGGGGGGCCATGGCTGTGGACCAGGCAGTGAAGTATGGGAGGCAAGCACCAGGGATGGGGTGGGGACAGGGAGCCTGGGTACTGCCATGTGCTGAACACGTGTTGTCCTGCAGGATGTGTGAGGGGGAAAAGCGGAAGCTGGTGATCCCATCAGAACTGGGTAAGACCCTTCGTGAGCGGAGAGTGGGGTTAGGGGAGTTCAGGGTGTGTGTCTGGGGAAGGCTTGTTCAGCCTCTGCATTGGTCTCCACCCCATCCATTCATTACAGTACATGCCTCTTCCAAGCCTAGCTGTGTCCAGCAGTGAGGACAGAGCGAGACTCTTGGGGGACTCCGCTCTGGTGCCCACCCTCTGCCCTCTACCAGGCCTTTACCGGGTCCCATCTCCATTACACCTTCTCCATTTCTGGCCTTCTTGCTGAGATGGGCAGAGGCCTGGCTTCAGCCAGCAGAACACCTCTTTGCCTGGCCACAGCTTACTTTGTTCCTTTGTGCATCTTTGACAGGGTATGGAGAGCGGGGAGCTCCCCCAAAGATTCCAGGTAATACACCTTCCTGCCCCCCATGCCCTGCACCCACCCCGTCTCCTTGTGACCCTGGTTCTCATTCTGACCCCACTTCTCCCCTGCAGGCGGTGCAACCCTGGTGTTTGAAGTGGAGCTGCTCAAAATCGAGCGACGTTCAGAACTGTAGCCACACTGGGGAGGGGCAGCGGAGAGGCCCCCATCAGGGACCAGACTGTTTAAAAAAAACAAAAAAACCTTAAAGCCCATGAAGTGAGCCTGTGTGTGTGTTTGTGGACCCTGAGAGACTTAGAAACCACAGCTTCAGTCTCCCCTCTCCCTCGACATCCCCTCACACCTTCCTTTCCTGGCTGCAGAGCCTTGGGGTCTAGGCTCAATGTCATGGGGTCACGATGGCCAGGCCCTGGGTGGCACAGTAGCCCTTGTCCAGAGGGGAAAAGGAGTGTTCCTGCCTGCCAACAGCAACTCCACTCCCCTCCAGCTCCCCAGCCACTTCCAGCTCCTAGTCTGAGAGCCAGCACTGGGCTATCACCATGGCTACGTGGCCCTCAGGAAGGCCTGTGGTCACCTGGGGAGAGGCTGAGCTGGCAGTGTCCCCCCTAAAAGAGACCAGCCGAGAGCCTTTGAGCTGCACCAAAGGCATGTCCTAGCTTTATTAAAGGGCCCGCGCCGCAGAGTCAATATAAAAACACAAAAAGTCCCGTCAGTTTAATAACAATAAAAAACCCCAAAAATGGAAAACTGAAGGGGCAGGGAAGAGGCCCCTGGGCCAGGGGCACGGGGAGCCCTGCTCATGGCACCAGGCCTGGCCACAGGGCTCCCCGGTATTGCTGTTGCTATGAGGTCGGGGGGCAGCGATTGTCCTGTGGGAGCCACCGTTCCACTGGGTCAAGGACCCTTACTTCTTCTGGGGTGTGCTCAGCTTCTGCATGCCCCGGATCTTGTCCAGCAGGCCAGAGATGAAGGCCTGGACAGGAGGGAGGATGTCAGGGAGACGAGACCCCAAGAGCACAAGAGCCCAGGCTGCTCTCACCCTCCCTCTGGGGAAACCACTTACCTCTGTGGGTTTGTAACAGTCAACCAGCAGCTCCTAGTGGGGGAATAAGTGTAATTCCTGAGTTCTCAGGAACAGGCCTAGAGTTCACCTATACCCACTTCCATGGGACTGGGGCTGCCCTGAGGCACAGGAGATGCCACAGCCACTCCACAGCTAGGCGAGTACCATTAGCCCCACTTGAAGGCGGCAGAAGCTGAGACCCAAGATTATGGAGCTGGCTCACTTGGACCAAGAAGACCTGGCTCCAGAGCCATGCTTACCTAAGAGACAGGACCTCCAGGCAGCCCTCTACTTCCTGCCCACCCACCCCTCTCTCACCTTGACCCTGGCAGCCCGGGTATCATCACTCTCCATGTCCAGGAGCTCATCCACGTCAATCTCCAGCTCTGGGATCTCCTCTTCCTGGGGTGGGGGTGGGGGAGGAGGGAGAGACAAGGGTCTGAGTTGGGAGAGGGCGTGAGGGGCTCTCCGGCCGAGGCCCCTGTCCTGCTGCGGGCCGAGCCAGCCCTCTTTGCCCAGCAGACAGCAGCAGCTGCTCCGAGGAAGAAAACAGCTCAGGCCCGTGCCAAGGCAAACTGCCTGATGGGGGGGGGGGAGCTTCCTGTCCCTGCCAGTGGGCACCCTGGGTGCCAGATGAGGCCAGACAGCTAGGGCTGGGGACCCTGCAGATGGGTCTCCCCAACTTCCGGGCCCCCCATCTCCACCAGAGCACAGGTGGGGCCAGCTGTCCCAGCTCATCACAGCCCCTTCCCCTCCCCCAAACACCTGTCGCCGCTTCCCGGGAGTGAGGAGGAAGTGAAGGGTGAGGGGTCAGTGGGAAGGACCCAGGCCTGGTAAAAGGGAAACAAAGAGCCCATGCTTTGCTGAGGGAGGGGGTGCCTGCCACCCCTTCCCCGCCAGGAAGCGTCTATCAGTCAGGAGTCGGCTGCATTCCAGGGCTGGGCTAGGGTAGGCAGCACGGGGCAAGCCCACTCCTCCACCCTACCCCCTGGGGCCTGAGTCACCATTTGAGCAAGGAAAGAGTCATGGGGTGGAGAACTAGAACCCAGACAGCTGGCTAGCCTGCCCCCACGCCAACCAAGGTGGAGTTCCAGGATAGGCCATCAGAGTAGTCCAGACCCTTATCAGTACCCCACCAACGAGGGTAGCACCTTTTAACCAGCCTAGGCTGGCAGGCACTAGGAAGAACCTCCTTCCACGGCCAGCCCAGGCTAGCCCCATGCCTCCTGCCCAAGGCCCGAGCTATCCCTTCTAGAGGCTTCTAGAGGACCCCAAGCTTGACCAGGGTAGTGGCATGAGGAAGGCAGCGTCTGAGGCAGCGTAGAAGGCAGAAGTGACTTAGGTGAGATAAGAAAGAGCATACATTGGGGGCGGGGAGTAGAGAGGAGGGGAGGGCGCGGAAGCGGAGCGCCCATTGACTCCGGGTGACAGGCAGGTTCAAGGTGGGGTTCCTAGGCGGCCCGACTCGGGACCGATTTTAGGGTGTCGACGCAGGGTGGGGACACACACCTGGCAGTCGTAGAGGCGAGTGAGCTGCTCCAGGATCCACTCCTCCAGGTTGAGGCGCTTCCGTAGCTCCTTGCGGTCGTACTTGACCGTGACCTTCCCCTGGCGCCTCACCGGGCCCTCGTCGTCCGCGCCGCCCGGGCCCTCGCCTGCAGCCCCGGGGGGGCTCTGAAAGTAGACGCGGGGCCCTGGGCCGCCACTGCCCGGCCGGGGAGCTGGGGCCG